CGTGTGATCCACCGTATTTTTTTCAACGGTCGTTCTATAAATTTCTAATTGTATTTATTCTTATTTTAACATCATAAAAACAAAAATGACACACTTGTACATGAAACAGTAGGTAATGAACTGTAAATGCGGGCGGTTGTGCTGTCAGGCGAGCGAGCGAGCGAGCGAGCGAGCGAGCGAGCGAGCGATTGCGCGAGCGGATACTTCCAGATTTGCGCGGTCGAAAAAAAAGCGGAAATTGCGCGGTCGGATTGAACAAAGCGAGCGAAAAAAAAGCGATCGAAATCCGGAAGCGGGCGGGAGGTTCGGCGAAATGAGTACTGTAGTATGTGCAAAAGTTTGAAAAAGATTGATCAAGGCATGTTCTGTGGGACAGGTTCCTGTTTTCAAACTTTGACAAAACAGTAGAATGTAAGAGTATGTGCTGCCAACCTAGTTACATTATTTGTCCATACTAAATATAAAATTGTTTGGCATACTGTGCGCTTCCTTTGCATGTCAGGTGATCAATAGAATGGATAGTGTGTGAGCTGGGTGGCATTGCCATGTGTGCTAGCAGATCATGACATCAACAGAATGGATAGTGTGTGAGCTGGGTGGCATTGCCATGTGTGCTAGCAGATCATGATATCAACAGAATGGATAGTGAGTGAGCTGGGTGGCATTGCCATGTGTGCTAGCAGATCATGATATCAACAGAATGGATAGTGTGTGAGCTGGGTGGCATTGCCATGTGTGCTAGCAGATCATGATATCAACAGAATGGATAGTGTGTGAGCTGGGTGGCATTGCCTATGTGTGCTAGCAGATCATGATATCAACAGAATGGATAGTGTGTGAGCTGGGTGGCATTGCCATGTGTGCTAGCAGATCATGATATCAACAGAATGGATAGTGTGTGAGCTGGGTGGCATTGCCATGTGTGCTAGCAGATCATGATATCAACAGAATGGATAGTGTGTGAGCTGGGTGGCATTGCCATGTGTGCTAGCAGATCATGATATCAACAGAATAGATAGTGTGTGAGCTGGGTGGCATTGCTATGTGTGCTAGCAGATCATGATATCATTTTTATTTTGTCGGTTTCTAAACCATGTATGATTCCACATGAATGACGGTCATGAGAGTACAGCACAAACCGAGATTTGTCTCCGATATAATCACAGTAATAACACAAACAGAAACATAGTTGAACTCTGGTGACCTTGCCCTTTGTTATATAATATAATTCCCTTTAACATAGTTTGTTTCAATATAAATATACATTGTCATAATTAATTTTGAATACAAAAAAGTTTTGGGGTTGAACTAACAGTGGGGAATCAGTCTACCGAATGTCCTTTAAAGATGTAAATATCTTACAAAAACATTGGTGCCTTATTTGTTTAATTATTTTAAGGGACATAATTTTCAGCTTTATTCAAAGTAATTCAGATATTTTAGTATAAAAACAAATGCCTCATTGCAAAAAAAAGTGCTGCATTTAGATGTGAATAGATTCATAAAACATGCAAGATAACAGAAAATCTTAGCTGGCTTTTGTCCAAGTATTTTGTACAGGTGTCTGTCAAAAATTAATGATTCACTGAGACAAATATGAACTGCCTCATT